CTAGATAGAACCCCATTTCGATCGCAGTTTGTAAGTGCCCAATTATCTCCACCTTCAATGCTACTTCCCCATCCGCACAACTGGTTCCCCGATAAGAGCTCTACGACCGCACAAGGAACGATTTTCATGCTTTTTCGTTCTGCAGCTCCATTTTTCACTGAAAGGCGAGCTTTGAAGGCGGGGTCTCGAGGCGGAGTCACGGGAGAAAAGGAAGGGTCACTGAACCCATACAGAGCTGAAGCTCCGCTCACTTACAATTTTTCTGGCCGCGAAACCGCGTTACAAGGTGCTGTCGTCGCGGCGGACGCGACGCTACCCCTTCCTCGACCACATATTTTTCAGCTACACACTCCTGATCGAGGGGCCTTCGAGGAAGACTGCTACCGGGGAGACAGACCTGAAGGCCTCCATGTGGATCGGTTTCCTAATTGAACATTTTCTCGCGTCAGCCAATTTCCTCTGAAGTTTCATTGATTTCAGTCACATAAATCTTCGTACAAACATCGTAACTATACCACAATCCGACATACCTTGTAATTATACTAATCCCAGAATATAATCACTTAGTCTGATCTTTCATTATGAAAAATTAAAAAATTGCCACTCTGTGAAGTGAGCAGCCTCAATGTCCGACTTGCGAGGAAGGGACAATTTACGTTTCATCGCGTACAATGGCCATACTAGTTGACGCTGAAGTGGTTGAACATAATTAAAAATAAGTGTGCTTTTAAGCGATGGACGCTATTGAGCAAAAAATCATTTAGGGTGTCTCATATGAATGAATGATAAGATTTCCTAGCCCAAGCAATCATAAAAACTTCTCACGGAAACTGCCAACCCGCCCATAATCAATCAGGAAACGTCACAGGTGGAAGCATTCGTTTAATGGAGGGGTTCTGCTATAAACCTTCAAATGACTGGTAAACAGCATCATCGACGATTTTTCTGCGATTATCACGTGCTTTACTATACTGCCGCAATGCCGATATTTATGGCATTTCTTAATACTGAAACAGCTCTCTCAGTAAAAGTGGAATGCAAAATGTTAGGAGAAGAAATGTGTGCTATCTTCTTAGTTATTCACTTGGCCGAATTCTCAGAGAAATGGTTAGATTTCGTAATGAGTAAGGAATTTTTCTTTCAGAGCTTCAAGTTTCTTAAATTCGCGCTCAGGCAATTGATAAGCGTCCTTCCTTGTATTAATAGTCACTAACAATAACAATATCCAGTTTTCGCGGTTTCACAGTAAGCAACGAAGGCGCTGCTGCTCTCGTAAGTGCCAGTTCTGACGTCTCCCTAGTTGTCCCACCATTCCCGTCACAAGCTCAGTTTTTACACCGTTTTGTTCGCTTTTTTTGCTAGATGGTATTAGAATTGGATGATTCGAAAAAACGATTAGTGATTTAGAGGCGGCGGGATATCTTTTTGCTGGAGTAGAACGAGCAGGTCCCACGTGCTTATTCCAAGGCTTCCAGGAGGTCCTTACGGTGCTCTCTGTGTTTTCTTCCTTTTTTATTGTGTTTTCTTCCTTTTTTATTCTCTGGAGAGTCACTCAATAACTACAGGTTCGTTATTGAACGCCGCACCCACAATATGCAATCGCAGGGCTTGTCTTCGAAGGAGTAGAGCACCTTGAACTTACCTGGATCCTGCTTGGAATCCTAGTTCGGCTACTTCACCTATTTATTTTGTACTGTTTGAAGGGAAGTTAGCTATTTCACAATTCTGCCAATATAAATTTATCTGCTTATTCGTGGTACATCCAAAAGAACGCGCTACATCATGGCCGCATCATGGCCGCATGCAAAATTAGAGCAAGCTGGCCAGAAAATAAAGAGAGCTTATGGAAAACATTAAACAAATGAAAAATAAGAAATGCAAGTAAACCGAAAATAAGAACAGAGAAGTTCTAGAGACCACTGCAATGATGCCAAATAAATATTGTGCGGCAAGTATTGAGAACTCCGGAGGCCCATTATTAAGCGAAAAATTCATTTCTGGGTTCATTTCTGGGTTCATTTCTGAGTATGGATGTCGTGCATCCATTTCTTGTCGGAAACTCCATTTTTAAGGTGACAGCCATTTTTTAGGGCCCTTTCTTTTTTCTGCTTTCATTTACTATCAGCGAAGCTTCCTCATTGCTCCTGTATACGTATAGAGACGAAGATTAAATTCGCATGAGCTTTTTTTTTGAACACAATCTCGTTATTGAGGAAGAGTGCAGTTTATGCCGCGGTCATACTTTGCGGCAGTGTCACCAGCCGACAACAGCGTCCACCAGGGCGTTCCGAGTGCTCCCCGGCACGCGCCAGCGGCTGGGAAAGTATAGATTTCGATCTAGCGTCTACCGGCGTCCGGGCTACATTCCTAGGGCTGATGCCGTTTAGAAGCTCTAACTAACTGCCGGCTAATTTACGAAGTTATCACAAGAATGCTGAGCCATGGGCAAAAGTCGGACCACGGACGGGATTCGAACCCAGCATCTTCTGCTTACCGGGCAGTTGCGTTCCCTATAACGCTACCGAGGCCACTTTTGACCGCTCAGCTCAATGGCTATTTTGCTCCGCCCAATAGCCCTTAAAGCACTCACACGTTCAACGTGCATGGTGGCCAGTTTAGCCGATATCGGCAGTGAAGGGCAAGGCTGAAGGATTTACGAAGTGCTCAGAACACCTAATCCGCTGAAAACTTGTGTACGGGGTTAGTCAACGTCCCGACTACGAGTATGACACTCATTCTTGGCGCTAATGGAGGACACTGCAACTGTTTTCTGGGCTCAGACTTAGCAGAGCGCAGATATTCGTAGTGTTCTCCATTAGCGCCAGCGCTAGGAATGAATGTAATATTCGTAATCAGGATGTTAAGTTGCCTCTGTATACAAGTTTTCAGCTGATTTGGTGACCCAGGCACTTCACAAATGAGCCAGCAGTCAAAACGGAGCCAAACTGATCAGTCCTTTCCTAGTCGCTGACACTAGCGGACACTATTGGCCGCTGGTGGACTCTGCCGCAAAAAATGAACGCAACGCAGCTTTAAAAGACCCATGGGATGCCGACGATCCCCTTTTATGTAAAGTTCTGAAATTGTCTATGTTAAGCGGCATGTATCATTAGTTTCACTTTGCGTGGTGCTGCCGGTTCGTGCGTGGCGCGCACGAACCGGCAGTGCTTCCTACCGGGGACCAATTCCTAACATCTGACTCTTCTTGCAATACTTTTTTCACCGTAGCAAGCTAACGGGCCAATCCGATACTTATAGATAATGCCACTGCGGCTGTACTAAAATCTACGACATTCAGCACGAGATACAGCTCTTTTTACAAACATATCAGGAAACGATGTACATAGTTGCCACTTTTGTATATGAACATATTCCATGGAGCAATGAAACACCTAACTCAGCTAGGATTTGTGACAACAATTTTTCAGCGCTATTGGTGCCGTTCGTTCAACAGCTATAATTTATTTCCTATCCGCTACCCTCATCTAGTAGTCTAACATCGCGAGATGAGAATATTTCATTGGCAACTTGCTTCTTCCTGGCCGACCAAATGAATATCACTCTTCCTATCACGTTCATTCGTCTGCCTTATATAGCATGTCTTCCGTTTTCATATAGATACTTTTGAGAGCATTTGAGTATTTTCAGGCGATGCGGACGGTGAAGGTCGGGGTGGCCTGTCGCGACAAACCGCCGACAGGTAGGAAGTTGTCGACGGCTTCAAAAGTCACGGTACAATCAACCCAGAGCCAAGTCTTTGATAATAAAAATCCGACATACACCAGGCATGGGAAAGGATTTTTTAAATCAATTAGTCACTTCATTTGTCATTTATGAATTCCAGGAAAGAGCTGGATGAATACAAGCAATTATTTAACATGTTCGACACAGATGGTTCCGGTGCTATTGGAAACGAGGAGTTGAAACAAGCGATGTTCAGTATCGGTATGCATGCAAATGAGGCAGAAATCGACAATGTGATAAGAGAGGTGGGTTGTGATCCTCAATGTTTTCTCGAGCGTTTCGCAAAAACTGAACTAGACCGCTATGTCATAAAGTGGGGTCAGTATATCTATGTGACTGTTTATTCGAAGATCAACGTACAAAAATACTGAAGCATTTTGTAAAGACGAATAGTTCAATTTGCTTTTTTATGACAGCCACTAATGAACGCTCGCTGCCTCAGTATTTACTTACTACCCATCATGTTTCACATTATAACATGACACCTTACGTGGAAGGAGGATGTGACGGTAGGACTACGCCGTCGCCGACAATTTCAAACGCCGCATGGACGATATGCGCGCGCTGCTCGCTATCGGTGCTGGTCATTTGCTGGACAATGGCTTACCATTACTTCCTCCGGGCGGTACATCGACAATTACGTCGACAAATAAGTACAGTCCTTTTGACACATGCAGTGCGCGCGCCGTTTTTGCAAGGAGTCCCCGTTGTACACCGTCCTTGCCGCTAGCGCGCGCTTGTATTGCTGGACTATGATGGGACACGTCGAGAATTAAACAAGGAATTTATTTCATTAAGCGGAACCCACTTCTATTGAAATCAGGGGCCATCATTATGTGGAAGATCAGGTGCTAAGAGCAAATTAGTCCGTGATGGTAACGCGCCGTTGGGTTTCTATCTTTTCTACTTCTATTTTTTGTTCGGGGATGGAGAAATCCCCTGATTCAATAGAAGACAATTAATATGAGGAGAAGCGAACAGCCCAAACGTTCTCCAAGCAGCTAAGCTGGCAGAGCTGAAGAGGGCTTAATTAAAAATGACCATCGGAGTAGTGTGCTGTCCTAGAGTCTCATTTCTCAGTTGAATGTGTAAGAACAATGTGAAATCCCACAAACTGTTATTCACAAAACCTGTAAAGCAAACCAAAATCTCGAAAGTTTTTTAAAATGCATCTTATCTCGCAATATTCCGGTGCGTAGTCCCCACATCCCTATCATGTACCACCTCACCGCGGTGATAGGGCTGTTACTACCACTATGGTGGCCACAAACGGTGCCAGTCTACGCAGTACGCACGTTATTGTGTGTATGGGCGGCTTTCTTGTATCCCTAGCAAGGAACAAGGGAGTAACCTAAGCCACTTCTTCTGCTCAAACAGCTTCAATAGCGCCCCAGTCCTGCGTACATCGGATATGCTCTTCTACGACGTCAGGAGTTGCCTCTACCGATGAGGGGCCATCTAATCTCGTCAGGGAATCAGGACGTCATCAGATTAATCGGAAACCCGGAAACTCCCCCACCCAACGACACAAGGACTGCCTCTTCGTCTGCTCGTATAATTTGGCGCAGGTGTCGGACTATTGCATCGGATGCTGATCTCCGAACACTTCTGCTGAGGAGTCGTCAGATCAAGTACGATGTTATCGCTATACAAGAAACGAAGGGCAGAACGGAAACCATTTTAGGAAAACCGATCACAACGCAGGGGCTGCTTCATGGTTTGGAGCAAGAGTTGGTGATGGCAGAATGTTTGGCCGGAGTTGATTTTCTCAATTAAAACCAGGCAGTGGTCATCTAGTAGCGACTCTCACAAAATTCATCAGTGCACGCCCATCGCTGTTCTACGCTTGCTGACCAAAGATCAAGGAGCCATATCCATTATCAATGGATATGCACCCACCTCCACCGCCACTGACGAAGAACGCGAAGAATTTTACCAGCTTCTGGAAGATACGATCAGAATGAGAGAACTTACTACAAGTATGTGGTTGGTGACTTCAATGCCCTTATAGGCACGAACCACAACGGCGATTGGCGACTCGGGCCCCATGGAACGAACAGTCGAAACGAGAACGGAGAAAGGCTGCTTGACTTGCTGTCTGCATGTCGCCTTTATCACGGAAACTCTATTTTCGAGAAGCCGACTGGACGGCGATGGACCTGGGAAAGTCCAAATGGAGAAACGCGCAAGGAAATCGATCACATCCTAACCAATCGACGCTGGAGCCTATTCGACGTATCAGTGCTGCCGTCATTCGATACTGGCTCAGACCACCGTTTGATACGTGCCAAAGTATGTCTCAAGAAGAAATTATTCAAGCGCGGAAAAACCAGGCATAGGCCCTTACCTTCGAGGAATCCCTCCTACAACACTGAGCAATTGGGAGCTTGCATTGAGGCTCATAGCTGGCATTTGCTGGACGACCCATCAGAAGATTACAAACATCTGGTCGAAGGTCTGTCCAAGTGCGCAGAGATGCCACGCACTTGGGAAAAATCCCACTCAACAGGCATGCCGGTTTGCCGTCAGAGAATCACTCCGAGCTTACAGAAGAACTAGACTGCTGAAGGCGGCAGAAACAAGATCGAGCATCAAACGCTGCAAACGAGATCTGAACGATCAAAGAAATGTCATTTCAGCTCTTATGGACAAGGATGGAAGAATACAAACATCTAGGAGATCTATCGAGGAAATCGTTAGTGGTTTCTACACGAATCTCTTCCGCTCTTCCACAAACGTCCCTAGATGCTCTGCACCGCCTGCTGAAGATCCCCCTCCTATTCTGGAAGCGGAAGTTGCAAATGCGATCAAAAAGATGAAGAAAGGAACTGCTCCTGGACCCGATGGCATATCTGCCGATCTTCTTCGTGCAGGAGGAAAGTCCCTTCACACACTCCTCGCAGAGCACTTCAGTCATTACCTGCAATTAGGAATGATTCCAGAACAGTGGAGAGAATCGAGAACAGTTCTTCTGTTCAAAAAAGGTCAGAGAGAGGAGATTGCCAACTACCGACCTATCAGTCTGCTCTCGACGATATATAAGTCGTTCACGAAAATACTGCTCAACCGTATGGAATGCATCTTAGACGACTATTCGCACAAGGCCGCTTTAGCCACAAGAGGAGGACAGTAGGTTTACTGCGCGCCTCCGCTTTCGCAAGAATTTCTCCTGTATGGACAACATACAGGCAGTAACACAGCTCATAGAGAGGAGCCGCGAGTACCATCTTCCACTTGTCCTCGTCTTTGTGGACTACAAAAAGGCCTTCGACTCAGTGGAGGTTAATGCTGTTCTCAACGCCCTTGTGCGAGCCGGAGTACCCTCTGCCTACATTCGCCTGCTCGAACAGAGTTTATCGAACACATCAACAACCCTGCAGCTGTTCGAGCGCAAGGTAAAAGTACCCATTGAGAAAGGGGTACGGCAGGGGGACACGATATCCCCGAAGTTATTCACGGCAGCACTACAGTATGCGATGTCAAACCTCAACTGGGATGACAAAGGATACTTGATTGACGGGAAAAGGATAAGCAACCTCCGTTTTGCAGATGATATCGTTCTGATATCCGATAACACAAGTCGAAATGCCGAAGGAGGGGGGCATGGGATAAACGAGCTCGACCATGATTGGTCAGAAGATTTGGCATTGCAGTATCCGTGCCGAGAAGCCGGAGAGGTTATGTGCAAGAAAATATCAAGGACACTACTATGGCGCACTCAACGGATAAATTTTGAAAACCAGCTAGTGAGGTATGCACCTCGCCCAAGAAGAACAGCATCCCTGCTTCCATCAATGTTTTCTTCATAGGTACAATTTCCTAATGATATCAGCTACCCAAAAATTCTTCTGTGCACATTGAAGAGAAATGCTGCTGTGTGAGAGAGAACCCTACTGAGGTCATTTAGCTTAGAAGTGGAAAGGTTCTGTGAAGACTGAAAAGCAACTCATAGTACTTTACAAGATTTTCCTCTTAGGCTAAAGTGGTGGAGCTTCATGGAGTTGGGGACTGCACCCGAGCAGAGACCAGAACACGTCGTACACTTGGGAATCTCAACGAGGGGGTTACACGTGGTCGCTGGAGACGGGGGAGGGGGGGTGGTAGAAAAAATATTTCCGATTGTTGACTTTCCTCAGTTTTTACCGTTCCACGTGGGCTATACCTAGCCCTTTCCCCACTTCCCCGCTTTTTGAGAAAAAAAGCTGGGAGAACTTTAGAAAAAAGTTCCGGAGTGGGGAAAATTTAGGAAGATGGTGATCAATATGAGAAATGGGGTCTGGGGGGGGGGATCGTATTGTGTAATAGCAACGGCAGGACGTGTCCCAATCGAGATACGGAAGAGTACTCACTCTACAGCAGCAGCCTTGTCTCTCATGCGCTCAGAATCTGTTTCAAAAAAAAACGGCGACCATAACTTCTACAAAGAGAAAAAAGTTCGGAGGGGAAGGCCACTGGCTAAGGGTAGCGGCCAACTGTTAGATACAAGAAGTCTCTGGAGATGGAAACGTCTAGCCATTTCTGGACATACGACTTTGGCTCTATTATTGCTTCACCTCCCCTTATATAATAACTAGGAGCACCCGAACAAGCACCCGAAGCCATCGAACAAAGATCATAGAAAGATTTCGTAACAATGTGTTACACCCATGCCTACCCCACCTTTTAGCATTGGTCAAAATCTCATTTGCTAGAATTTTGTTTCCAAGGTAATTCGACCCAGTGCATGCGAAGGTAAGAACCATTCAAGGTGAAAACCAGAATCATTTAGGGCGAAACCCCTGTGACGTCCGCGGCGCCAGCACCCCGAAACTTCATGAGGTGCGGAGACGCCCAAACTCATTGAGAATTGCTAACAGCTTCCACCTTAGGTCAGTACACAAGGAGAGCAGTAATGCTTCAGCCCTTATGCTCGTCCACCTCTGGTTGAAGCGGCTTATGAGGACCCCATTTCGGACGTACTGTTCGCGACCGTTTCCTCCTTTTTTACTTTGCCTGCTTCATTTGCTGCAAGGAGCCAAGAATCGTGTTCCTGCCTATACGAACGAATTCATCTATATTACATTCACGGTCTTGTCTGTTAGACGTATTCAAAATCGACGGAACGCTATCTGGGTATCTGTTTATACCAAAATGATCTAGTCTTCTCATTGCAGGTGGACGCGGACGGCAACGGAGAAATTGATTTCGAAGAGTTTTGCGCCTGCATGAAGAAGTCTCAGAGCATTGTCAGATCCACAAATGAGGAACTGATCCGGGAGTGTTTTGACATTTTCGACCAGGACCACAATGGAATAATTACCGAAAGCGAGTTCAAGGTAGCCAAACGCTTCTGCCTTCGCGCCACTTTTTAGAATATCGGCTTATCTGGAATCCCTCATTTTTCAGTACATTTCCAAGGAATATGGTGACTTTTCGGAAGAATTGGCCGAGAAAGTGTTCAGAGAACTGGATGTTTCTGCCAACGGGCATTTATCTTTCGATCAGTTTGCAACCATTGTTGAGGACTATCTACTCTACGACACAACTAAAATTGACATGGACAAAGAGTCGGAGTAGTGATGAGGCCCACGTATACTACTGAAAACTTCCTTGCGGTTTCTTCTGTGGTTGCTTTTGATGAGAACGCGACAAGATCAAAAAGCTCATTTGACGAAAAGTAGTGAAACAACGCTCTTCGTTAGTTTCACACATAATTAGTAGACCGGTTCACCACAGGTATTGTGACAGTTTTGCGGTATAAAGCTGCATGGCGCTCTGAAACGGAAGCGATTAGCAAGCGCGTTGGTGGACTTTGTTTCACTCTGTTATTTATTCTCTTGTTTCCAGTCTTGTCCGAGTGTTCAGTGTCTCTTTACCAAGCAATGCTAGAAATTATGTGCAGAATGAAGTCTTCATTTATTGTGTTCTGCCGTTTATGTGCTGTATAATTGTTTCGAGCCTGCGTCGTGGCATGGGTGCCGGGCGTTTTCGCGCCGACCTAATGTGAGTTAAATGCCTCAAACATCCGTTTCGGGCCAATGCCAGTACAAACAGGCCTCATTTCGAGCCCAACTTGGCGTCATCACTCTTTTCATGGAATTAGTTATAAATTCATATTCGAAGGTTATCGGTAGCCCGAACACGCAAACAACAATCGTTACATCATTTCGTATCATCTTTGACCAACATGACACCTTTCTACTTCAAATTCGTTACAGGTTAATATCTCAGCTACCTACCTCTGTAGCGCAGAGAAATACGAAAGTAGCGGAGAAAACAAACACGTTGAACACGAGCAAAACATATTGGTACTGCTGAACAAAATCGAAACATATTGGCAATCTGTTGAGACGAGCAGTCTGAAATGTGGTGACTTTCCAACATCAAGGCATATATTTTTTTATGAACGCTTATTTGCATAAAATGATCAACCTTTGAACGATTTATAGAATAAACCCGGGAAACAGCAAAATATAACAGAACCCTCACAAATGGTTTGAAGAGAGGAAGTCCGAATAAGGACTCCGAAATGGCTAGTCAAGCTCGGTTGCCAGTGCCATGCATGATCGACCATGAGTCATGTAAAGTATGTCAAAAACAGGATGACAAACTGAAATGGTGAAAGGTAATTTTTTTACTCATCGAACTCGTTCACTGCCAGCAATGGAGGCCTGACTGTCGCTTGGTCGTACAATTCGTTGTGGGATCACGCGTCCTTTAAAACATTTCGAAATAGGCCGAACTGCTGACAGCTGGTTTCTCAGTGCAACTATCGTTCTTGCACGTATCCGTGTTTGTCCTCGATTTCCTTTTCTTCTATAGGTTTGTTCTCGAAATCCTACCCACCGTCTTTCAGGTTTTCGTACTCTACAGGTGTGCTTTCAAGTCTTAAAACCTCCCCTTCGCTTAACGTTATCATCTTTATCTTCTCATCTTTTTTTTCTTCTTTGTGCAAGTTTGTTTTCAAACTCATTCTCACCACTTTTGGCTTCACCTTGTTCGTTCACATCGCTTTAGCTCTCTTTGCCCATGACTAGTTTCAAACCTTCAGTATTTCGCAAGACCTCTTCTTAGATGGTGCTTTGTAAAAGTCTTCTTGAGCACCTGCGTTCAGTGCACAGTCTATAGCCACTTAGTGCCAAAGAGGTGGCAACTCAAGGAAAAAGAACTGGTCAGCAAAGTCAGGGAAAGAAAGCAGAAACATGCAACGAGTGTGGAAGCATTTTCTCGACGAAGAGGGGCTGCGACTGCACATCAGCTCGAAGCACACGCCCGCTGAGTCCGTCTTTGCTATAGTAGCGAACGAGGAAAGCCACAATTTCGCCCCGGAGTGCTGCCTTTGTGACGGCATCTTGCAAGACACATGAAGGACTAGCCCAACATTGTGGGAATGACCATGTGCACGATGGTGTCATGGGAAGATAATACAATCCACAAAGTTTCCTTCAAGAGCTCTGAAGAGTTCAAGGTCAGTATTTGGGCAAAATATTCAAAAAATGGGAGTTTGTCGACAGGAAATCATGTGCAGGAGTGGTCGAAGAAGATGTGCGACAATTTTTGCACGTCATTTTTTTGCCGGTCAAGTAAGGAAAGCGGAAGAAAAGTGAGAATGCGGTTTGCTTTTGCATTTTATTGACTATGTATAGATAGAGAGATATTGGAGATTCGTGCAGGTGCAATAGATGTGGTGAGTCCAGCTCACAAGGGGAGCAACGTATTCGTCCTACCAAGAAGCTCAACCTCTACTGCTCATCATTTATGAACGTGTGTTACAATGAAGATTCCACCGTGGCGTAGTGGTCTTCGGCCACGTTGGCCATGAACTCGACCCAGCGTTGTTACGCTGGACGGGTGAATAATTCGAGTATCTAAAATCAGTGGTCGAAGGTATTTCACGACATAGTGGAGACGCTTCGTTAATCCTCTCTTCTCAACT